CCTAGGTTGTGATTTCTCACTTTCTGGCTCTCTCTCTCTCCCTGTCTTTCTGGTGAGTGCACATGCCCTACAGCAAAAAAACTCTCAGGAAAAAAAAGAATTAAAAAAATATAAAAAATTACGGGATGCTGCCCTTGTCTCATTGGGGTGGTGCATGTTATATAAGAGGTGCCTGTGTTACTCTCTGAAATCCAGAATAATAGGAATTAAAATACACATCCTGTCCAAAGAGTTTTGAATAAGGGATTTGGGAATCTGTTTTTCTCTGTTTTTCACCCTTTAAGTACAGACTTAATTGTGAGTTTACCTTTAAGATACTCAACTTTTGCAGTTATTTTTATTTCCACTATCCCCCATACACACACACACACACACACACACACACACAGTGTGAGGTCCTCCTGCCCCACACTCTGTTAGTAAGCTAGCCAGAGGGCGTTTTTAAATGGCAGCTGCAGATGGGACTGCAGTGTGTGCCTGGGGCAGCGGTCCTCAGAGACTTGCAGTCTGAGCCCCAATGCTCTCCAGCCTCCTCTTTGTGCTCTCTCCAGCTATCTCCAAAGTAGCCGCCTGGTTTCCTTGCCATTCCTACAACTCCCAAGATGGTTCGCTGTCTCAAGATGTTGGCACAAGACTCCCACAGCCTGGAGCCTGGCTCTGTGCTGTCGGTGCCCGGCCCTTCTGATTTCGGCTTTCAATGTCAGCCGATTTAGGTAGTGCCCCTTTATCCTCAGGTGTAGCCCCTCCCTACCCCTTTTATGGCCTCTCCCTCAGTCTGAAATGAGAGGCCTATTTATTTGTAAGTCTGTGTCTGTCAGCCTCCCCTCGCCACATGTGGGCTCTGTAAGGAGGGGCCACCATGTTCTGTTCCATGCAGGGAACGCTGGCACCCTGGATAACGCCTGGAAGGGAACAGGGCGCGGCCGTGCATAGCTGTCAGCGAAGGGAGAAGTGTGATTATTTGTGAGGACGGCCTCAGGGCAGAAAGTGGAAGCAGAGGCAGGGCAGTCCACGAGAATGCCAGGTGGCATGGAGCTGAGACCTGTGAGGTACCAAGAGTGGGCAGCAGCCTCCCACACAGGTGTCTGATGGCCGTGCGCTGGCAGGAGGCTGTGGGGACAGGGACCTTTGGCTCTTAGGAGCCACTGCCCAGACACCCAGACAATGCTTGGAGAGAAGGCTACTCGATGCCAGCCTCCCCCTGCCACAGTGTTCCCGAGAACCCTGGAGTTGGAGGCCATCATGGAGGATGGTTGGAATGAAATCAACGTGGGGACCACACAGGGCGTTGGGTCATCTGTAAGGTCTGGTTAGGTGAGTGGTGAGTCGAGCCATAATCCTACTTAGCTGAGAGTATTCCAAGCAGCTGAGGGGCCAGCCCTGCTGGTCCTCTCCTAGGCAGGGTTGGACCTGCCATCGTTCAGCCTGTGGTGCTCAGACTGTGGCCTCTCTTGTTTGTCATGCAGCCAAAGCGAATTACTGGAGGCCAGCTCACCTCCTGCTCCTTCCTGCCAGGTGCAGCTGGGAGCTGTGTTCATCTCAGGCATTTCACAGGAAGGTTGACAGCGGGACCAACAGTTAGCGTAATGGCTATGTCGCTGGACTCCCACGTAGTTAACCACAGTTCTCGTCCTGGACCCGGTGGCTTAAAACTCACGCCGGGCGCATGTGCATGCGTGCCCAAGATCCCAAGAGGAGAATGGAGGAGAAGGGATTGCAGCGTGGCCATCCCCCCTGGGGGGGGGGTGATTTCTCGCTTTCTGTCTGTCTGTCTCTCTCTGTCTGTCTGGCGAGTGCATGCACCCTATAGCAAAAACCTCTCCAAAAAAAGAAGAAAAAACTGGAAGGTTGACAGGCTCAGCCGTGGGGATGGGCGGACCTGCCCACCTGCTCAGGCTGACCTGAGTATGTCTGCCTACAGCTTGGGTGGTGACCTGCTGCCCAGAGTCTGGCGGGGAGTGGAGCACTGGTTGTCCGACTAATTTATTTATTTATTTTTAACTTTTTAAAGAATTATTTTATTTAACTTTATCCATTTATATATCTTCTAATTTGACCAGAGACAGACAGAGTGAAAGTGAGAGAGAGAAAGTGAGAAAGCAAACCACCAGGTCCAGGACTCAAACGGCAGTTGGTCATGTGGGAGTCCACTGTCCTTAACCACCACGCCTCCTGAGGGCATCAAAGGAAAGTGAGAAAGCCACCTATGAGGTTTGGGACTCGAACCATGGTCCGCCATGTAGGATTCCAGTGTCCTAACCACCAGGCCACCCGCGGGCCCCTGCCCGACTTATTTGTGTGCAGTTGGGCCACACTGGTGTTTTCCACATGGTCAGGTGAGGGTGACAGATGCAGGTCCCCTCAGGGCTCAGCAAGCTTTTCTTGGCAGGATTGCCGGGTGCCAGGGGGCAGCCAGGAGTTGGTACAGCTCTGGAATGACATCCATTACCGTCTGGTCCTGCGACGGCTGGGCGTGAGCATGCTGACCCCACTGCAGAAGTTTCGCTGCAGGAAGAGGTACCTGCTGGCATTGACCTTGTGCTCATTCCATGGTGCTCCCGAGGGGTTAGAATTCCAAAGGGGCTGAGGTGAGACGTGGGTGAGGAGGTAAGAGCAGGCAAAGGAAGGCGGCGTCACAGTGCCTATATAATACGCATCGTGTCCTCAGTGCTGGCTCTCATGTGCAGTCCCCACCAAGCTGCACCTCCACCTGCCATGTTGGCCAGGGTGGCTGGAACAGATGGCCGTGTGTGGGTTCCTGAGGCTGAGGTCAGCAGGTGGGCCTCCCGACCACCCCTCCTCCCAGCTCCCCCAGGGCACACTGGATGTGGGGCGCGTGGAGCAGGGACACTGCACAGGGTGTGCAGGTGGGCACTGTCGGCATGCATGACTTAGGCCACCTGATCCCACAGCCAGGTCCCGGGTGGCCACTTAGGGGCCATAGGGCCTTTTCAGAAATAAAGGATGAGAATGCCACATATGTTAAAATTAGTTCTGGGTAAAGTGCTCAGAAGAGGGCCTGCCACATGATAGACGCTAAATGCATGTCATTAATTAGTGCCACCATAGTGAGCACTGACGAACGTTGCCACTCACAATTATTGTCATGGCCCTCTTCACCTTTTGTGACTAAGGACACTAAAGCACAGAGGGGTAAGTGATTTGCCAAAGGTGTCACAGGCACCAGATGCGGCGCCAGGGTTCCGGCACAGCCCCTTAAGGCCTCGGAGCTGCCACTGTTCATCTCTGCTGTTCTCTGGTCGGACAGGGGCTGCAGATCTTGCTCTGAGCTGACAGCCCTAGCACTGAAGGGTTCTTGTGCCATAGGACCTGTGCTGGAAGAAGACAATTCCATTTATGACCACAGAGGGTTTTTTGTTTGTTTGTTTTTACCAAAGTGATACAGTGTTCTCCTCAGAAGCCCTGAGGGTCTTCAGGGTGCACTCTTACTCTCCGCGTAGGTGCTGACAGCCGGTGCAGTGCAGTTTGGCAAAGTAAATGGTTTGCGGACCAGCACAGTGCGATCCTGTCAGCATGTTTGCGAAGCCTCCCCTGCATGGGAGGTACTCGGGATACAGTCTAGGCCTGGATTTCTTGGAACTGACATTGACACGTGGACAGCAGGGGACAGACAAGGAGACAGCAGCTCTCCTAAGTCGGAATGAGGAGCTGTGTGGCAAACATGGGAAGAAGACTGCAGGCTGCTGGGGCGTGGCTCTGGGGCAGGCACTGCTTTAGACGGGGTGGTCCGAAGTGGTCAGGACTGTCCAGGCTTTGCAGGAGAGCACACGATGGTGTAGGTGCTGGCACATGTGCAGAAGTGCTCCAGCTGGGGGAGTGCCAAGACCAAAGGCCTAGGTGGAGAGGAGCTTAGTGTCTGGGAGCAGACTGTGGCATGGTGATCCACCACCCCTGAAAAATGGACCACTCTCAGCCTGTGGCCATAAGATAGGACTCTAGGGTTCTGACAATTGAGCAAAAGGACACTGGACCACGTTCTGACAATGCTGAGGGTCCCTGGGGGGAGTCAGAAGACTGTGAGCAAATGCCGGCACTTGAACAGCGGCTGCAGAAGGTGGGAAGGGCTGTCAGGGTAGGTTTTGGAGGTAGAGGTGGAGGGTTGCTGAAGGGTGGGACACTGGAGGAAGTAAAGAGGGAGTAAAGTGCTCCTTGCCTGAGTGGGGACCACCGGAAACCAGCTTCTTCACTGACATGCTCAGGGGCTAGGGAGCCGTGTGGGGAGAAGGGGAAAATTCAATATGCAAGACAGTGGGGAATGGTATAACCAACCTGAATTAACCGTGACCAGCCATCTGTCCCTGTGCTACCTTGGTGAGTGACACGGCAAACCTGGCGAAGGTACGGAGAGAGGAGAGGGTGGGGTGCCGAGCCAGCACCTAGGACCCTCCTTTGCTCAGGGCACAGGTCGCTGGACTTTCCATTGGGGGGGGCAGCTAAGGAGGGGGACAGGGAGGCAGAGGGACCAGGGCACACTGCAGTGTTGAACAGGCAGTGAGGGGAGGGAGGCCGAGGGTCCTCGGACTGGGGCAGCGGGAGGCAGCAGAGATGCACCTGGTGGCAGGGTGCATTGATCTCAGATTGTTCTCTGAGACGTTTCCTGAAAAGTAGCAGTGCCCCCAGTAGCAGCTGGACAGGAATAGGGAGTCTAGTCTTTATGCTGAAGGTGAGTTCTATAGAATGTTTTCCTGGTCATGGGATTGTGTAGGGATAACCCAAGGAATGTCCCCGGGTGGAGTAGCAGGGAACGGTGTCCAGGGAGGGCTGGCCTGGGGGT